CAGCATAGGGTTTACTGAATCTAGCCGATATTCTACCAGAATGGTCGAATTATATACCACGAATGCCAACAAGCCTGCTTTCGAGGATGTTCCGCTTTCCCCTCAGTTCTTGTTTGCGTAGGCAGCATGCCGATATTTCGGAATTCTTTTTCTCCAATTTGATGCGAAGTCTTCGAGACAACGGAGTGCCTATAGAACTGCATCTGAGGCAGCCAACTACAAGTCAAATGCGCGGCGTGCAATGCTAGTTCTTGTCCTCGGCAATGCGTCCCGTTTGTGTTTAAGACTTCAGTGCTCTTCTGGGAAATTTAAGACATTTTAAGGTTCCCAGTTAAAGCAGAGGCTAGATAGAGCGTGGACATTCGAGTTCTGGAGGCACACTGTTTGGGAAGCTGCACATAGGTACTTGAGAAGTGCAAGAAGACCTTACCTACAAACAAAAGAAATAGAAATGCAAAGGTATGCGCATGTTTGGCATTTGGGAAGTTGTGGAACCTACCTACAAGCGCATATTTTCGGGTGCAGCTTTCTGGTTGCATCACTGCGCAACGGGAGTCCCGAAGGAGCTGTTGTCAACAGTTGGTACAGGAATGAAGGTAGCTGCATATAGAGTCACAACATGAATATTAATTAACTTATAGGGGAAATCCCAGAATGTGAGGCTTCAATAGGACGAATGCTCATGAGCGCAGGCTGAGAGACTCCGCAAGAAGGGCCATGCTTCTCACCAGTGGAGACAAGCAACTTCCGTTTCCCAGCTTCCAGAGCACTGTTCCAAGAAAACCTCCTGCAATATGCACCTTCCCATCTCTCACAAAATTTTTGTGATATTATTGGGGAAATTGCATTTTCTTTGTCTAGGGACTTCAAAGGGTTAAACAAGCCCGTCGTATCGGCGCTGCCGACTGATTCGATGACGCTTACTTTCTCCTTCCTCTCCAAAGCTAATATTTCAATGGCTGCACACAAGAATTTGTACGTATATGCTCCGATGCCCTGTGCTATGCTAGGTGCAGTTCTCACTCGATTATGCACGAAGTGTATAAGCTTTCAAGGGAAAAAGATAGGGGATGTGGCCGCTACACAGCGGAGAAGCCAGTGCACCTGCTGCCGCCATGATTGGCGAATACAAACAATATGAATTTCCAACAACAACAAATGCACAAGACAAAGCACCGATAACTGATGAAGCCCATAGAAAAAAGCGTAGACATGAGGAAAAGGGCCTCCTACTCAAAGAACCCGACGCCATCGGCCTTGGCAATGTACTCAAGGGGCAGGCCCCACTTATGAGGAGAGAGATGTTTAGGCGAAGAATCTTTCCTATACGATTCGAGGAGTCCGCCAAAAACGTTGAGGAAGTGCAGCAACTGCTTATGCAGAGGCAACCACTTGGCCAGTTTGTTATTTCGGTGTTTTATCTTGCACTTCTCTTGATTTTCATCGCTTTTTCGTTGGAAATTACCAGGATATTTGAAGCCGCAGATGGAGTGGCATCACCGATAAAGTCTGCCCTGGCACCCTCATTATCTAATTTCAACTGGGTCAGCTACGAGGCGGCAACGATAGCACAGATAACTCCAACACCCGCGTCAATATCCGTTACTCCTGATTCAGGACGCCCAAAAAATGTCTTCACGATCAGTAGCAAATTTGACGTGGCCTCTTGGCTCCTCTACGGATTTATTCCCCTTCTCTATGGAGCAACGTCAGGGACAAGCAACTTGGGCACTGCAAGAATAGTTGGGAACTGCTTTAGGCTCACATTTCGACAAGTATGTAGGCAGTAGCAGGTAAAATGTGTTTGGAAAACTGAGAGACTTGAATTTGGCGTGATTCTTCGCCAGTTCCAAGTGTAGAAAACCTACCGTGGCTTCCGCGCCAATGATCACTATGACTCCCCTCAGACTGGCCTCGCAGCAGTCTCCGTATACGGAAGCTATTGGCATTCGTTTTGTCCCCAAATTATTGCATAGGTCGAGCTGGAAGAAGTTGAAGGGTATGACTTGGGGTATGAGGGTGTTTGGCCATTAAGTTGGGCTGGTGCCTCTGCCTCAATTGCAGCAGCAAAGCTGCGGTCGGACAACCCTCTCACAAATCCATCAAGCTCACGATTTACATACTCTTACCAGTTTGCTTCCTCCGGAGACTACAAAGCATTTAATCAAGGGGGAGGATACTATCAGGTCATATGTGAAGGTGGGTCGTGTTTCAAAAGACACTGGCACTTTTCTAAGGAAAGCAAGTGCTCCCGGCTGAAATAAAGCCTTCATAGAAAGCTTTGCTTCATCTTTGAAGCAGTAAGTCACTTTTGTTGCGGCCTGCTTGGGCGCAGACTCAGTGCAAGCCGCTCAAACCGCTCTACAGCAGAAGCAAGCCCCTTCTCGCTACGCTCCATGGTTTGTTCCGCTGCCAGTAATAGCGGACCGCCGAACAATATCAACTGTAGTCGACTTCTTTTCTATAAACCCGGTCACGGAGACATTTTCGTATTGTGCTGTCCTCTTTTCTTTTACCAGTTCAGGTATGGTGCACTGCTGGCTGCTAAATCAAACAGCAGAACAACCAAATCCTGTTGCACTCCATACGACATGGTTTCTGTGCCCTTTTGTACGCAGGGTCGGTCCAGACGCCATTGGTGTGGGTTTCTTCTCTCACACCGTTCTCTGCACAGTCTGACTGTCTAATGCGTTACGTTGCACTTGGCTTGCTCCTAATATTCTTGACTCTTTACCTGCTATGCGAATGCGAGGAGCTGAAGAAGTTAGGCTTGAAGTCTTGGCTCAAAGAAGGCTGGACAATGTTCCTCTTACTGCATTTGTGTGTACTTCTCTGCTTTCTTGCCTCTTTTGTCGCTATTCAAATCGTCGCGTTGCTTGCACCCAAGCTCGAGCTCACGGCAGCAGATGATGGGTATTACGAAATATCTGGGGCACCCACGGCGTCCGACGACACAGGGTTTTTCCAGCTGGTCAGTGACTACCACTCCCTGTTTTACGTCAACTTTGCAGCGCAGCAGGCATGCGTGTTCCTAGGTGCTCTGGCAGCAGTAACAGGATGCATACTAATAATTAGATTGGCCCCTTCCACTACAGGGATAGGGATAAAATCTCTACAAATGACGTTTCGCAAGACTAAGTTCTACATACTGGCTTGCAGCCTAGGGTTGCTACTTATAGTTCTTATTTTCGTCTCTTTTGGAGACATTTCCTTCGGGGATACAACGAGCAGCTTTGCCGGCTACTACGAGAGGTAGGTTCTTCCCCCATTCTCGTCTGCTCCTCGTTCCCAGTAGTTTTTGCGTGCCTACTACTCGCTAAACTTGATCAGTTTACTCACACCTGCGTAGATGATGCTCCAACTGAAAATGTAGCGACTGCAGAAGCCAGTGTGTAAGATTGAAATCAGGCTATACCAAACTTTCCTGCTTAAATGCAGCTTGAAAACATCAGCGGCTTTCCTCCTCGGCGGAACGATTGGAAACTACGATGTGTACTCTCTGACTTCCGTCAATTCTGTCCTTTCTGGGCTATATTTTGTGCCTCTTTTCCTTCTCTTCTCGGTTTTCGGTCTTACATTTCTTGTTGCAATGGTCCTGAAGAAGTACAACAGCTGCGCACAGAACACTGAACAAAACGTCACGAAGTACAAGCTCAACAAACAAGTATAAGACCGACCACAACTTGCTTATTAAGTGACTGTGGGCTACGCAGTCCCGCACTTTATCTAATTATGACTTTCTTTGTAGATAAAAACGAAGGGAGAATATTTTACTTCATTTTAGCCTGCAGTCGCTTCCTCAGTTACTGCCAAGGTTGCTGTACCAAACACTAACTGGCCGATACTTCATTGTACCAAGTAAGCGCTTAACACCCTAAGGTTCCTTTTCCGTGCTTTTCAGGGCCTTTTCCGAACACGGTATGAATGGTTCAGATATGCGCTGAAGAGGACGTGGATGGGTTTTTGGAAGGAAGTCTGCAGATGCCGATCGAAAGAAAAGCTGGAGATACTTGCCGAGGACGAGTTCGAAGATGACATCAGAGAAGCTCAAGAATTAAAAGCTTCAAAAGAGAGGAAGAAGGGAGAGCAAAAGCGAGCAACGAGTCACGAACACTATTGCAGGCATGCTACTAAAGAGGAGACCCACTCTTCTGCAGAGGAATTCTACGAGTCACCTCCCCAATACCCCTCATGGGTTTGGAATGAAATCGGGATGAAAGATCCGCTCAGCATCTATGCAGCACACTCCGGTACAGAGAATTGTTTCTATGTGGATGCAGCAAGCATGGGTAAGACCGCGGCTTCGCACGTGAGGTAGGGAAGGAAGCCTTCTAAACTCATACCAAACACGCCTTGCGTTTGTGCGCAAGCGAGACTTACTTGGCCTTTTGCGAAGTGTACTGCTGCACTGAGTTCATCGCAGCGGAGTATTCAAAGACGTACGGGTACTTTAATGGATTTGATGTGGCCGACTATACAAGCTCAGGGGAAGGTTATTTCACGCCTAAGCTTGCAGTCAATACAGTGCAGAAGGCACCCGCACCCTCCATCGCCAAAGTACTCACTGGCTTCTTAGGGTAGCTCAGCAATAGTTTCAATAGCGCACTACAACAAAGATTCATACTTGCAGCAACGTGTCAAAAAAGCCGCGACAAGTGGTATATCTAATGCAACTTCTTTGGTCACTGTGTTTATAGGTTTACCTCCTAGTGAGACATCAAATGCAAAAGGACCACCAGGATGCTTGGAAAAAGCTCTTTGTAGTCGTCTTTCTTGTAGTCGTCATAGCAACAATTACCCTGCAAGTGAGCGATTATTCGTGCCGTAACTACTTCACTTGGGAAAAAGTACTTCTTAAGGGGGGCAACATAGCTTCTCAGACTGTCAACCTCTCTTTCGCTTCCTGATCCCAAGAAATAGCGTTCAAAGGATATGGCAGATGGCTCCCCTGCATCAACGATTGGGTCTTTTCGCAGCTCTCGGTAGACACAGCAGCCGATATGCGGGAAATGGCTGGCCAAGCTGCTTCAAGAACGGCGTTCACCTTGGATCCTGTTACCTTTGGCTGCCCAGATTCTTCCCTTGGTACGAAAAGACTAAAGCGCATTGGTTAAGTTTTATTCCTTAATATGCTTATCTGCCCAGTTGGTGCAAAGCTTGGGACGTTCATAAAAGACCACAATATTGCAACGTATTTCACCTGAGGATAGCGCTTGGCAATTTTTTGTTGCACTTGAAGCACATATTCTGCTCCGCAGGCTTGACCAATGTGGATGTTACGATAAGTCTTCCCACGCAGCCTCTATTCAATATAATCACACCGAGAGACCTTTACAGTTGGCTAGTAGCCGACGAGGGACTGATGGCATTTTTGACGTCCTCCACCAAATCTGCATTGTTTGGCGAGGCATTTCCACAGCTAAAGCAACAAAACGGTAGGGCATTCCACTACCACTTTAAGTGCTGTGTAATTCAGGTGGATTTCGTCTGCCTGTTTCTGTTTGGAGGACATTATTTAATTGAAGTTCACCTTCTTGAATTGCTTTTATTGCGACATTGTGGGTAGGCAACGCGTATCAGCAGCTTGTGCTATACAACTGGAACAGCGCTGTGACTACACGTTCCGTTCGCCTAACCTTAGTTCTCCGCGAGGAGGCGTCCTTCCCAACTCAGCTAGGCTTCTCCTGTGAGTCGTTGCAGTGCGAATACCAGCCGCTTTTTGAAACCACTGCCTTCCAAGATTTTTTGAGGCGACTGGCACAGGAGAACATCTTGAGAGACGTTGTTGCGGAACTTACAGTTCATGTTGTCTTGATAAATAGCAACCAGCGTGACACCGTGCTGGAGGCGCATATACAGTTTCCAAGGAATCGAGGAGGCAACGTTACACCAAAATTCTCTACTGAAACTTTCACTGTGAGTACCCGTGTAATACCAAAGATACGGATATGCCAAGTCCTTCGCTAAATAATTCAGTATCCAAAACGGAATTATTCCGCTGAATACAACAAAGTCGCCTTCAACAGAGTTTGTCTGTGGCGCCTCAGTTGCAGCCATACTCTACATGGGATTTTACAACCGTAGCTGCCGTGGCTCTGCAAGTGGCAAGCGGAGCGCTTTTCTTGTTTTTCGGATGCTCATTCTTTGTGGAGTTTTGCCGGCTGAGGGGAAGACTGAAGGAGGAGCGTGAAGACTACAGCTTTGGCTTGTGCTTAGGAGTTTTTTTTATCGACGACCTTTTCAATGCTTTCGACATCATTGGCTTCATTGTACTGGCTTGTGCAATTTTTGTGTGGGTACTTCATGTGTGTGCTTCACCTCACGCAGAAGTGCTCAATTTAGCTGAAGATCTCTCCACCGCTTTAGTTGCTGCCGCTTCCGGGGCCACAGAGGAAGCGGAGGCAACCGCAGCAGCTGGGGTTTTCTTCAGGGCCTTCAGTTCAACATCTGCCTTGCTCCGCATCTACGCTCAGTTAGCGGCGGCTATTTTGGCCGCTGCATTTCTTCGTTTACTCCGAATTGGGCGCAAACGCAAGCGCATGACCATGATGTTTTTTGCTGTTGCTTCGGCAGCAGAAGAGATGATACAGGTCCTGATAGGTACGGTACTAATTTTCATGGGCTTCGCATATTTGTGCTTTCTTTCCTTTGGCCGTTACCTGGAGAACTACTCAACACTGAAGAACTCATTTGTCTCCACGATCATGCTGACGACAGGCTTCTTCCCCTTATCGCAGCTCTTCCAGTCAGATGCCTTTATGGCCGGGGTTTTCGTTTTTCCTTACCTCTTTTTCATGGGAATCATTTGCTTCAGCTTCTCCCTGTGCGTGCTGCTCCGCTCTTTGGCGCACCGCTCAGCAGAAATTCAAGCAATGGAAAAACTTGGGAAGATTGAGCAACGCCCACTCTTGAAATCTTTACAGCTCTTCCTGCAGGAGCTTTCCTGCAGCTTTCAGCCTTCACAAGAAGAGATACAGGCTCAACAAAAGGAACTGGAGCTGGAACACCTGCAACAGCAGGAGGATGAGGCAACAGCATTTGGAAAGAAGACAGCTTCAGACCAGAAGGCTGACTTCGAAGTGCTACAGATGATTGAAGCAGTCGAGCGGAGACGAAGGGAAATGCCACTTAAAGTGGTGGACCTGCCCCCTGACGTCATCACCAGTGCGTTGTCTGACGACCAGTATGCCGCTTTGCCGGACGAAGTGCGATCATTTGCCAATCAAGAAGCGGCTCTCTTTGTGGATCGTTTCCGTAAATTGGCGATCCAGTTCCAGCTTGGCAGCGGCGATGTTGTATCTCTACTACAACAGTTAGAAAACGATGCCTACGTTGAGCTGTGGGCGCTTGCTCATGAAGTAGCCCAGCAAGAAGGTCACTTGCAGCATGAACTATCAGTTTACACGTCGCACGTTATCAATGGGCAACAGCGGCTCTTAGGCTATATTAAGTTCCTCGAGCAAGCGCTGCAAGACAAAGAGGAAGAGCTGCAACTTCAACTTCAGGAACTACGGCTTCTAGAGATAAAAGTTGAAGATGAGAAGCAAGCTGCTGAAAGGTATGGAACGACACGATGAGTGCAATCAGCGCTGGCCGTCTGAGGCGCTAGTACGCCGCAGTGCATGTATCCCAACATTCTGATCACCCATCGTCGAGCTAATCGTGCAGTGCTCCTTTAGAGGGCAATGAATAGGGAGCCAATAGCAAGCTGGAGTGCGAAAATGGTCACCAGGACTCCGTAAGGCTCTCCACACTTCGCAGTTTGAAACAGTAGCTCGCATTTGTGGAAGTTATTATTTCAATACTATCCCGGAGGACTCAAACGGTTTGATAAGCCAATGCCCTGCTTCATGCACGTGCTTGAGAACGCTGCGGGGTGTCGCCAACTGGCGCAAGACTCAAATCGCTCCAACGTCAAGCCTACTGCATGTCCTGGGTGTGAGCCCCTCCCTTATATGCCCGTCTAGAAACGTTAATGCCACGCCATTTCGGTTGGTTCACATGCATCAAAAGAGGTGAACAGGCATGCCGGCTACTCCGAAACTGCAACGAGCGCAGTCGAAACGGTCATATCGGGAACAAATCAAGCAACGTAATTGTATTGGGTTGGCTTGTCTTTGTCCCTCTCCAAGAACTCTCTGGCGATCAGGTCCTGTATTCTTTCCTTCAGCAGCTTAGGAGGCGGCTGGAAGAAATGCAGCTGGGCCATAACCTCGCCTACTAGCTGCTGGTGCGACAGGCTCTGTTTTACGAAATACAGAAAGCAACAGAAATACAGCTAGAAGTCCATCATCTTGTGCATATAGCCGTCAGAGAGCTTTTCAGTCTACAACGAATGTGGTCGCTAGGATTCTGCCTGACCTTGCGTGTCTTCATAATGCGCACGATGGCCGCATCAACAGTGATGGACCTGTCCTCCTCAACACGCGCTGCATCAAATTCATTTAACAAAAATCACAAACTCCATTACATGAGTCATTAGGAGCTCCACAGATTATGAGACACTCGCAGCTTTGTCGTAATTTGCTCATGTTGCTAATGCTGCTTTTAGATGCCGACAAAACTACAGGGCGCAATTAGCGGATGACAGAGCCAGCATACCCCGGCATTGTGCTTCCTCTTGCACAGGGGTAGGTAACTTAATCTTCCGGTGGAGGCATGAAAAGCTTTCATTAACCTGGAAGAGATCGCTCTCCGTCTGCAAGATGCGCGAAGGGGTAGCACAATGGAACGTTTGTGCTTTCGTGTGCAAAGTTTGACGGCTCGGGTGTATGTGAAGCATGCCAGGGCTCCTGCGACGACAGCCCGTCACGGTGGTGCAGCAAACAATACTCTAAAACATTCCTTGCAAGCGCATGTTGGCGAAGTCGTTGGTAGCATCATCTATTTTCCTGCAAGTAGTGCATTGCTGACTTTCTTGAGTATTTTAAAACGGCCAAGCATAAGTGACCCCAGCAACTTCTTCACTGTCAACTCGTCGAGGCGTAGCTCTTCCACAAGCTGCTGTACCGACAAAGCAGGATCGCCGGCGCAGCATATGGTGCGACCACACCCGTCGTCTTGTTTTCTGTTGAATCTTAGGAGTAGAGCTGCCTGCATTGTGTTGCATATGAGGTCTTGGCGATTTTGGAGTTGTGCAGCCACAAGCGCAGTTCCTGAAGAACGAACACCAATGAAGAAGCATGGCCAGCTTAACCGATTGTTGCCGCTGATGTTGCCGCAGATTGTCTTTCCGCGGTTACGAAACCCCAGTGTGCCAAAAGAGCTGGACAAAGTAATTACTTTCGCAGCACATACCCAGTGAGTTGACCCATGTGAGCTTCCTGTGTTGTGTCTGCGAGGTGTAGAATTGCTCAAAGGCGTTGACGCATTGGGCCAATTGAGGCGGCAAGCGCAAGTCAGGCGCTGCAGCCAACCGAACGCCGTCACAGCTAAAACATCGCTGGTTGCACAAGATTGAAAACCAGCGTCTGGTTTAGGTATTGGGGCGTCATAGACACAAGCGTTGGCTCGGCACCGGTGCCTCGTACATATGCGGACTCTTAAGGAATTCAAGCTACCTGTCAAGGGCTGTCCTCACTTGCCTGGATATGTTGGCCAATGCGCAGTGCTTAGGGCCTGCACCGAAAATTCTACATCACCTATCATTACCGTTTCCACTGTGGCAGATGAGACGGATGCATCCTTGATCCTGGATGCACTCTCATTTACTTTCGACTCCTGCTCATCCGCCTTTCTCTTCAGCTGCTCTTCTTGCTGCTGCTGCTGGAATGACCGCATAAGACCAGCAGCTACTTGGAGATCGTTCACCATCCCCTCTACTTTCGCAGTGAAATGGGCGCCACATTTAAGACGCAGTTTCGCTATTAGTAACCGCTCGAGCTCGAGTGATGCAGAGGTCTCATGCAACAGCCGACGACCCAACTGCGTTCTGGGAACACAAAAAAGGAATATTTATATGCATTATATTGGCATCACATGCCTTCGACGCTGAGAGCACAGGAAACTGATGTGCGGGCAAAGGCTGACGACAGTTGATGATGCGCTATCGGCAGGCTACCCTCAGCTGGGTATTCTTCAGTTGTGCACCTGTATTGCTCAGCAAAAAGGTCTTTGTCCGTTACGTAGTTGAAAATTTCAACAACTTTCATGAGGCACTCTTCGATTTCATCGTCACCCATTCTCTCGCCTAGCGCAACAAGGCAGTCTTCTGACAATCGTGTGGTCCTAGCTAATGAGGAAACAGAAAGCAGGGGCTATATCTGCAGTCTAAGTAGAGCAATGGGAGCACTGGTTCAAAAGTGTCCCTCAAGGCTTCGGAAATTGTGGACACACGAGCAGCACAGTACACTCCTCACTACTAAATATGGATCGGAGAAGATATCTGGCAGGACGGTACATCTGGAGAAATAACTCTTTTCGTCCAAATACTAGCTTACCCCCAGCCTTCCTCAGAATGCGGTCACAAAACGACGCCAGCAGTTGAGCAAAAGGGGGCTGCAGAGATTGCGCGTTGACGAAGCTTTCGAACGCTGAAGCATGCGAGAGTACACAGTTCAGGTAAACTGCGGAGCTCAGGCTCAACAAAAAATAACCCTTTTTTCGACTCCTTCCTTTAGCAGGCCTTTACCATTTCCAAGCATGTAATTTGCCGGCACATTTTACGAACCTTCTTTGAGTGCCTTCTGGAATAGTGAGTCAGCCTGAGGCGTGGGTCGTGCTGAAGAACCCAAAGCATCATGCGCAATGCGCTGCTGAGCTCGAAAGCAATCCAGTGTGATACTTTTGAATCGGTCGTGCAAATCCAACACGCTCTCCACAAATCGGTGCTCCGCGATGATATCCTGTTGCCTCTGTTGTTGCTGTGTCAAAGCAGCGTTGCTGCTGCTGCTGGCCGAACCTTGTGCCCTCATCTGTTGTGTCTCTTTCATCGCGGCAACCCGCTGCTGCACTAGCTACACGAGACACAGAGCAGTTATTCGAAAGAGGAACTTACTACATGTTACTCCAACGCATGAGTTTCCAGGGGTGCTACGGCTGCATTTGGCGCCCGCTAGTTGTTTCTGAGCGCTTATTCAGTACACACCTTGTCTCCACAAGCCGAAATGTACACCTTGAACTGCTTCGCTAGGTCTTCAACCGCTCCATCCACTAAGGCAAATAATCTGTGGGCCATTCGTAACTCCGCTCGTCCCTCCCCAGCCAGAAGAAAGGGAATCGCCGTATCTTTCTCTAGTAGTTCCTGTTGATGTTGCTGTAGAGTGCTTTTGACAACGACTCCCAGCAGCTTACTGCTACTGCTGCTGTGCAAGTACCTCTCACATCTGCGCGCTTCAGCCTCAAGCGCCGCCTGCAAGTCAGTAATCACACATGCAAATGATACCATGGGACAAACACAAATCTGGACTAAAATACAAGATCGGCACGCAGGATGCCCCATAAACTGGCGGCCAGGGAGCATATGGTGGTGCGAAGCCAGATGAGATTTTCTCCTGGGTGCGTAAAGCCCATGCTTACCTCCGCAAGTTGCAGGTATTCGGAGAAGGTGCTACTTGCAATCCACTCTCTGGCTTTGCGGTCATAGAACTGTTTAGTGGAAGCTAAAAGCAGGTCCTCTAGCTCGCGCTGGTAGAGGCCCAACCCTTCATCTTCAGGGTCAAGGCCAATATACATACACACTAGCTGCGCCACACTCTCCTCATCAAGCGACTCCCCTACAACATAAATGAAATACGACCTGGTAATTATGCTGTTGCCTGTCTGTCAATGGGTGCAAAAAGTACAGCAGAGTGTTTTGCAGGGCCGGCATCCTGGCAAGGTCATCGCGGCCTACGGCATTTGCAACACTGGGATAATCCAGTGCAACGAGCTCACCTTCACGCTGTCGACGAATCGCATCTTCGATGGCGGCGGAAACGGGCTGCTTAACCCTTTCAAAGACCTGCACGTGCCCCGCGCAACTCGCCAGAGTAAGCACAGGAAGAAACAGTATCCCTGAAAGGGGGGGTAAGCAAAACAGTTTGTGTGCTTGGGGCAGCCTTACATGATCCTTGAAAATCGCAATGCCCCTCTTGACCAGGGGAGCCTCCATGTACATCTTGACATAGTAGCGGTCTAGATATGCAAAGAATTTTTGAAGCCACTTTACCAAGGTACGGTGGTTCTCCCACCGACACAGCAGCTCCTCCAGCAGATCTGAGCCTCTCCGATTCTCCAGGGACGGCAGGACCTGATCAGGTGTAAGCGAACAATGTTCGAAGTATCTAGGCATCTTCACGTCCCCACAACTGTGGAGAATTAATCCTAAGAGCAACATCCACTGCAACGACTGGTAAGACTGCAGGGGAAGCTTCACGTGACAATACTGGAAGAAGGCACGTGCACCCTCTTAAAGGGCTCTGTATGATCTGCATAGCAAAGGGAATAAGAAGTCTTACAGTGGAGTGCACATAGCGAACTATTGAGTCTCCGTAAAGTTGATAGAGGTCCTGCGAGAAATTGTATGGTGACCGCTGTGTACACATCGTGTAGACCATCCTGCAGGCAGAAGTTATCGCCAGAAACGTCACATTTGATTTCGGATTGAATTAGATCGTCCTGCAGGGGTGGATGGTTTTTTTGTAGAAAGGACTTTACTTCTGAATCGCTACGTTATGGGCGCACAGCAGGTGCAGCGCAGCCTTACGTGTATATGGCTGCATAGTCTTCGTTTGACACGACACATACTCGTTTGGTCGCATGGCCTCGTTCAGGCCTCTGCTCCAAAAACCGCTGAACCTTCTCAATCCCCTGGAGACGCAGTTTTGTCCATCCCTCCTCCAAGGTCACCAACTCTCCGTGCCCATCCATGGCCACAGATTGGACAGCTCCCTGACACCGTCACTTGTCCTTTCAGCTGCCCCTTCTTACAGAAAGGCGACGGAAAGGAGCAGTAGGCGTAGCCTACTTCCTGTTCTGCCGAACAGGGGAACCGCACTGTCTGCAGTGCCAGATCGCTCAGTGGGAGGCCCTATTCGGTAGACACCTCCGTTTAGGCCGGCCATAAGGCAAACTTAATATCTCGGGGAAGCATCTGTTACCTTTGTTACAGTCGTTTTCGTGCAACACTTGCAGTCACGCTGGTCCCTGCAATGCCACAGTAGTGCTCCCAAAAAGCTGCCAGTTCCTCCCGACCTGACTGTACGACCTTTTCCCCTTCTTTTAATGTATACAGCGCTTCTGCTGCAATTGCAGCATATGTAGCGCTTAAGTACAGGAAACACCCTTAATGAGGTTCCTGCATGCCCTCTAGCCCATTAGGAAGCCTACAGGCGGCAGCCTAGTTACACTGCTCTCTGGAACGTAGTGTTGCCCCTAAGCAAGAGCTAAAAACATCACTACATGTAATATAAATTGTACCAAAGCCACTTACTTTGTTTCACTTCAACGCAGAGTCCGTGGTGCTCCCTTGGGGTGGACGATGTCCACACTAACACGCTGGTCTCTTCAAATGTAACAAATGGGGTTAGTGACTGTCACAGATACAGCTAAACACAAGCCCCAGTAATCTATTACAAATATAAAATCGAGATGATCACAGGCTAACCATATTAAGCTGATTTAGTAGACAACGTGAGCAATGAGCAAACGCTGAGCGGAGGGTGGCCAAAAATGCTGCAGCGGAGATTGTAAGAAAACCCAGCAGAAGCTGGCATCTATACTCATGCACCTTTTGTAGAGTATATTCTGTGCACTTTTCAACAAGACACGATGCTGTTTGCTGTGAAGTGTGCCCAGCCCTCGGCTACACTAGCACTTCTGCCGTTCACTATCCATCAAGCACGACTCCTCCACGCCGGTCTTCCAGAGCAAACTCAATGCGTGAGCGGAAACATTTAAATTGGAAGAATTGGGAAAAGTAACTAAGAAAAGGCTTCGGTTTAAATACGTTTCACCGTGAAGGTTGCCTATGCTGCAATTAGAAGCTGGGAGGCCTTCACTTGTCCTTTAGCGAGGTTTAACGGAGGTGTAATTTCTGTAAGAGGTTCCGTAAATTTCTTTAGGGATTTTCCAGCCTTCCTGTGTGGCGCAAGGACGATGGCACAAGCAAAGACGAAAGCTCTACACAGGGACTGCTTCGGCGCAAGCGGAAAAGCTTTCAAATCTTTAATACCCTCGATTTACGGTACGAAAAGTGTGGCTTACAGAATAATACCTCGGGCACTGGAGGTGTTATGAATGTACCAGTTCAGCAAACCAGTAGGGGTGGAGTAACGTAATACAAACGAGGCAAAAGGACACCTGCAGCTGAATTCTTCTTCACCACTCTGACAATTAATGGCAGCCAAGTATGCACTCTAGAACACCACACGGCCCTTTCAATGAAATGTTGGAGCCCAATTGGTGCAATTCTTGCAAGTATCGTCACTATCGTGCCCAAAAGTGGCATACCACGGGTAACTCACACTGAGTGGACTGTGGCCTGGTTCTGCGCAGCCAAGGTTGGAATTTTGGGTGTTGAGGCACCAGAAACAGTAGGATCAAATCGTAGGCAGGATTTTTTTTCACTGTCATAAGGCGATCATACGGTGATGGCTGACGCTTCAGGAGCAGGCGTCTCCGTTGTTGCTGCGGCAGAAGCGGCAGCGGGTGGCGCAGGGGATCCGTTAGCTGGAGTAAGATGGAAACACATCCACGAAAAGTGGGGTGAAATTTAAGCCGAGCACGGAGCTGATTGCAAAGCAGGGAATGGCAATTAACGCCTCCCACTGAGACTGCAGCCGTTGAAACCATGAAGATTCGACCGCTGAACTGACACTGGAAGCTGTGCATCTCATCATCAACATCTCTGCGGGTGGCAACGCCGTCGCCGTCGACAATTGTGAGTCATGCACTGAGCATTTCAGGGGCATTGAAAGACGAGCCAACGGTTTGTTGGGGAGACATGACAGCCCACCACTGGTCCCTTCTGGCTCGGGGCCCCAGCACAGCGCTGGCAGCAAAAAGGGCATCAGCCAGCAGCTGCGCGAAAGCCATGCGGTCAACGGTTTCCTTCGGCTTTAGCGGCCGCACGTGCTGCTGCTGCTGCTGCATCAGCTGCCGCATTTCCTCCACCTCCTCCTCCAAGTCCAAGTCCTCCTTCTCCTCCTCCTCCTCCTCCTACTCCTCCTACTCCTCCTACTCCTCCTACTCCTCTTCCTACTCCTCCTCCTCCTCCTGCCCTCCGGCGCCGCTGAAGTGGCTGTACGGCGCAGGTGTGTGAGCTGATTTGGGCTTCGCTCCCGAGCAAAGGGCTTGCTCAGCTGGCTTCAATCCAGCCAGAAGAGCCATGCAAAAATTCATGTTTGTCAAGAACGCGATGGATATATCAGCCAGCATGACCAGCACGGAAAGGAGAAGCCACAGGAGAGTTACTGTGATGAGTAGACGATATTTAAAGCGGAGAGAGCAGCTGAAACAAGTCCTGTCGCACAAAAGAAAAGTAGTGCTGACACTTCTGATGCCTGAAGCGCTGCAATAAGCTGTTTCGATGCCAATGAGAAAACACCGGGACAAGGCGTGCAGCCACTTCAGAGATACACCGTGACAGAATGTCGCAAGAACACGGGAATTTCCGTCTAAGAGCTTCCACCACACAACTAGCCAAGACAAGGATACGCTGCTATTAGGTAAAAGCTTCATCGGAAATGGCGTGAGCTCGCTGAGCAGGAAGGCGGAGCTGGCCTCATACGCTGCACAGCCTGCTGTGGGGAGACTGTTGAATCCTTAGAGCATAAGATATTGACTTAGGAGCACTTGCAGAGTTTGGCTTGCCCTCGCAATTGGAAATTAATGAGCTACCCATAATGGCGGAAGAAGTACCAATAGAAGAGATATGATTCGGCTTCCCCGTTACAATGTGTATGGCCGAAATGGCCAAAATCGATGCAGGAATATGAAGATACACACGAGGGCATTCTTTGCGGCGGAGGAGTATTGCGACGATGCAGGCAGTTAAATGCCACTTTAACTACCACAGAAGGTGTAACAGTCATTCTCCCACATGGCTGCGAAAAGTCGCCGTACTCGGTGCGCGACTTTGCCTATGAATTTTATAATTTGTGCAGCAGAACTAAGTACTGTTGCAACTGTCTAGTGTTGCACCGTCGAATGCCAGCACATTTTTATTCTTCAACCCCTACGGCCCATTGAGGAGTGGCTGCCTACATGTCTACATGTGAAGAGTCGCTTTGTGGTCCTGGGAATTAAGATAGCACCCTTGCCGCAAGCGTGTGGCCGTGCTAAGGGCGTCACACCTCGTCCTCGAGCTTTTGAGCTGTAGACTGATTTCCTCAACGTAATTGTCACACACTCGATGTTTCTGTGACTCTGAAGCGCGTGCCTGCGTTTGAACCCCGCCAGTTGTATCCTAGTTCGAGGCCCTCCAGTAGTCTTTGGATAGGTAAGTTTAACATTGAAAAATAGCTCGGAACAGTTCGTTGCTTTAGAGTTCACTCGTTCAGCGCTGCTTGCCGCACGCCAATTTGTTGTGGCGCAGAGACTACGGTAGCTCGTTCATCTACTACCGGACACTCGGGCAGATAAATGCATGAGTTGAATAGGAAGGACTTCTTACACAATGCTACAGACGATTTCCAACGCGCGCTGCGGCCGGGGCGCATAGTACCATGCCCAGCATAGTGCCAGAGAGCTGCACGTGAGCAACTCCACGCGCTACAATAAAACACGACCCGGAAGTCACCCACATAGTTCCTGTCCTCCCTCTTCTAGTACTGTCCACCCGCGCTTACAAAAGAAAATTATGACTAATATATGTGTTTTGGATCGAGAAACCCCATTCCTAGTGTGGCTGACGGGGGCCTGCCACGTGTCGGCGGGGCCCCATACTACGACTGAGAAGAATAAGGGAACTGCCTGCGTCACTGTTTACCCGCCTTGTGGAAGACAAATTTAAACCTGTTGTAATCTGCATACGCATATAGTACACCTGTGTCGTCATGGTACGGCTTACAGTCTCATCGATAAGGCTGCGAGCCAGCCGCATAGCCGTGCAATGCATTGTCGGCGCTGCAGCTACGGCTACTGTTGGCAGTAAGCTGGCCCATATTTCGAGGATTTGAAACAATACAATGTTGTCTGTCGCCGGTTTGTCCTTGGGGGTTGGAGTGTTTGCAAAGCTGCGAAGGTTTTGTAGATCCAAACTACTGCGCTAAAACTGGAAAGTTGCTCTCCGGCTTACCGCGTGGTAAGTCTCTGTATTTCCATGTGCATTTAGGTGGTGTACTACTTTTGCTACGGCAACACAAGAGGCACCATCCCCCAGCTACGAGAGGTCCGCAAAACATCCCGGAAGTATTTGAAGGGCCGTACCAACCAGTGACTTCCGAGACGCTTGCACAGGAAGCTGAGATGCGCAGGCAAGAGCAACGGAAGAAACTAATCGCTCGCGGGATTTCCTGCAGAGCAGCGGAGGCAGTAGCTGATGCAACAGCGGCAGCAGTCGCGGCACAAGGCCTGGGCAGTTCATGGGCAGAGGAGCTAGCAGCAGCATATCCACGTCTGGGACCCTCCTCTGCATTGGTCGCCTCAGCTCTGGCGGGGGCCCCTCTGGAACTCCACATGCATCTGAAGACCCTCTTTTGCGCCACACTGAAGGCGGCATTGTTGAGTGACATTGCGGTCTTGGAATTGGAGCACGCGGCACACCCCGAAAGGAAACAATCGACTGCAGAGGCAGACATGCGTTGGCTCCTAAGCAAAACCGAAAGTGTGTTCAAGGAGATCTTTTACGATCCCGCTTTTCTCGCTATGGCGTCAGCCTGCGATTTTGAAAAGCCAGCGCGCGAACTGCTGCGGGCACTACAGCAGCTTCGCGCTGCCCGCAACTGCACCAGCAGCGGCGCTACCGAGTCACTGCTTCCACTGCTTCTAACGGAAAAGGGAAGATGCGCGCTGGAACGATTTATTGCTGCAGTTGATGAGGACATCCTGAGCAGTCTGTGCAGCAGTTGGGAAGGCAGCGGCGTGTTGCAGCTGCACGCTAGTCAAGAGCAGGGGAAAGAAGATACCTCAGCTCCCCGAACTCGGCAGTTGTCAGCGAGGCATACAGGAAAAGACGCAGGAACTTCGATGGCCCTCGCTTCCTACGCGGACGAGAGGTAACACTGCATCAGCGCTTGACTTACATGGCAGAACCAGCAGCAGAGACACTGCACTGCGCGCATGCTTCCAACTCCCTAATTATTATAACTACTGTAAATGTGGTTTTGTTGTGCTGTAGGTGCAAGACAGACGCACCCCGAGAGACTCACCGGGGCGCCCCCTTGTTTCTACGAGCTTCAGATGTCAAGGCTGCAAAAGAAGCTATTGAGCGACAAGGTTTCGTTGTCCTGAAAGGTGCCCTTACTCCTAAGCAACTGCAAGACGCACAAAAAGCAACATTTTCTGCCAGCGGAGCGGTAAGTTTGCCGATAGTTAGCGTACGACTCGATGTTCGGGATGGTGGGCCGCCGCAACTATTGGATGAAACAGAACCTCAAAGCAGTGTTTGTGTTAATAGGCTGCAGAAGGAGCATTGAAGATGAAAGAAGTGGATCCGAATATTTACTGCACCAGGCCTACATATGGTGCGAGGCTTTGCGATTGCTGCTGTTGATGTAGCTGTCATTACCGCCGCCATAAACTATTATGTTCACCATTGCTTCTTCTTAGCTTATGCGCCTTATTCTGAGTAGTTCTGTATATCGTTTAGGGCGTTTACACTGCCTTCTTCGTGGCTCGTTGGTGGAGCCGTCGTTAGTTGGTCTGCAGCGGCTTTTCATGCCGCTAGTGCATTCATACCTTCCATCTGGGGTTCCGTCGGACGCCCATGGAGCCCAAGTGAAATCACGGTGGGATCTTCGCGCACTATCAGTATTGCCATGCGTGGTTTGAGTCGCAAGCAGTGCATTTCTAGGTATTTGATGCGCACTGTGACTTTGGCTAAATTGTGCGGAATTGTGTGTGTTTTATGCATGGGTGTTTACCACAGGCTGTTCGTGTCAGAAATGCAAACGGTGAATGCCGGTATGTCCACTGCAGCATTATCTTTTCACTTCTTAGTATAAACCACATGGAAGGAGAAAACGTCGCAAGAAGCGCACCCCTCAGTATTATCTTTTTTCAGATGCACTGGCGCTGCCCCAGTCTTGGCATCGAGATAACTCTTACCGCGGGTTGACAGTGGTCATACCGTTGGTGCCTATACACCTCAGCAATGGCCCCACGGAGCTTCTTCCTGGTTCGCACATCCTTAGCGGCGAGGTAAACTGAAAGCACATCTTGACAGCACCCATAGGTAGCCCTTTGACCAGTCTGAGGCAGCAATAGGCTTTCATATACTTCCGGCCGGCTACTGATGTACAAGTTTTGAGTTTGCTCTTGTTCGTGGAGGGAGCGAATAGTTGGATTCGTTGGCTGAGCTTACTGCCAGCTTTCGCAACGAAATTGGTTGAAGCGGGTTCGACAGTTAAGGCCGAGTTGCAACCAGGTGATGCTCTTATCTACGACTCGAGACTTCTTCATCGCGGGCTAGGTAAAAGAACAAATTCACCATGCAGTGCTTGTTGGAATCTACCGGCGCCGTCAGGCCGCTGTCCTGCGGATGCGATAGAAGGATTGTTGTACAATGCGATATTGACGGTTTCCGTTGTTGATTTGTTTGTGCTTGCTTCTGGTGTCCCATAGCAAACGAAACTTGGCATCCTCGCCCTACACTAATCTTGCGCTACGACTACAAGGAAACACCGCCTCCCGGCGAGTACACTAGTGAGGTCTCCGCCCTGTAGTTCTTCGAGTCCCCATGTCCCTCAATCACTTTGTTAGCATATCTAAGTTTTTACCAGCTGTTTGATTCGGGCTTATCAATCGCAAACGTTACATGATTTGTTGCTTCACATGAGCTTGCTCTGGTCTTACATGTTTCGATATTGCTACAGGCCTTTTCCGCTCTCTGGGGGCCTCCGCATTTGGCCGAGCGGTTGGAGGCCTGCTCAACGTCTACGAGAAGCTGTAGATCTGCGCAAGCTCTGCGGTGCATCATCCATCTTGCATATGGCATATCTATAGGGTACTCGTGTTGATGCTGGATGATGCGCGCAGTGCAGATGGTACGGAGGCCTGCAAAACCAGGCTTGCGTGCCTAAGAATGCCTTCATTCTTGAGCATTGCTCAGGAAGGCAGCTCACAATATTTGACGATCAATTTTATCGAGATGTACTGCTGAGCAATGCCAGATGGATATGAAGAGCAGTTCTGTACCAGGGCTGCCCAAGAGTCGCCACTCTTCCACGGAGTGTTTACTTTGTGGACATAGCCCATGCGCCACTTGTAATTATAGCACTGACTACTTACGCTGCTTGTCTACTCCCAGAATTGTCAGCATCGAGCGAAACCTTACATACATCGAGTTCTGGGCGGATGCGCATATCGTGCCCTCTGCATATGATAAGAAATAATGCACTCCTCGTCATTTGCCGTACTATCTGAAATTTCATCTATCTAAGCCCTAGGAACGGGTCAAAAGTAAGTCGCGTGTCTTCCGCAACGTGGTTGCCCTCACGTGGTACCGGAGCTGCGCACAGGAGTAAAAAAGCACCTGTCCGTGCTTAATGCAGATCGGTATCATTCTCAAGCCAGTGTTTCTCTTCAGGACTAGGATTTCACGAAGTTGCAGCTCGCAACACGTGTGTTTTGTCGCGGCTAGTTACGTGACTACTCGCAAAGATATGTGTGTGTCTTTCGGGATATTGCAATTTTGGCTTGCCTTCTTCGTAAAACCTTAACTGTCCTCTGTCCTTTTTTATACTGAAGAAATACTTAGCGAGAAAGAACTTTAAGAATTGAAGGCAACACGGACTTCAGGGTAAGGTCAATGCGAGCAGTCTGGTTGCAGGCACGGTCCGTGTCGTTTCTGCAAACAGAGAGCTGAAAGTTTCTTCTAGATAAATGTAAGTGGCCTGTGCTTTGAGCTGTAGACGCAGCTGCACTCAAGGGGATTGACTTATTTAACGAGATACTGCAATTCTTAACAGATGGGTCTTCTGTCTAGCCGCCATAGATGAGAGTCGTTCATGTATGAGCCACCGAACGCACGGCACTGTGTTCGTGACACAGTCAACTGACTAGCAACAGAGATTTCTGCTGGCATCCCTGAAAGTAGTCCACAGAACAGCGTGCGGTGTCACGCGCTGCGTCTTTATATCGTCAGAAAGCCTCATTCCACTGACCAAGCTAGTGCTTGGATTGGGAACTTTTGTCCAGATGCGAGTTTACCGCTGCTAAGTTTCTACGCCTTCGTTGACCCAAAAGAAATCCTACTCATCACTTCACAATGCAAGCAAAGGTAATGGTAAGTGAAATATACACTGGAGGAGGCATAATCCCCCTTGACAGAAGGTTATGCTCGGTTTGTTTTATCATGTACCACGCTTCACGTCCTGCGATTAGGAGATCAGCGTACATATTGTTCGGCACATACCGAAGGGTTCGCACAGTGTCACCAAACTGTCTCAACATCGTATTCATGCTGAAAAGAAAAGCCTTTCACTACTTTCCTCTTTAAGCTCCACGGAGCTTCCCCCTGCTATCAAGGCTCATACAACAGACGTAAACATGGGTGTACTTGAACCACTGGGTGGATTGCCAACGCCAAACCATTCAGCAGTTGAGCCTTGCTGTAGGATTCTCGTCTGCCCTACCTTTGCCAGCTGGGGGATTCACCACCATTAACCCATGACGCCGAGAGCGTCCCCGACAGGTTTCGAATCTGCAGAAGCGAACGACTCTGAAAACGGATTACCAGACCGGGACCAACCTACAAACACACATCGTGCGTTGTCTCCTAAATGGCTGACTGAGAACCGTTGAATTGTTCCCTCGGCATCGCCTGGTCTAACCAGCCGTGCAGCCATTCACTCCCGTTGTACTGTCCCCTATTCCTGCGCGACCGTAGACCCTTCACTGTATCTATTTGCAACTGAAGGCGTGCTGAAATGTTCCTACTCATTTTACCAGCTATAGCGTAGGCCCTACAGAGGTGGATGTGCGGAAGCCGTCACATACACACCCAGAATGGCAGATTAGGAGTTCACCTTCAGCCAGGGCATCCTACAGCGACACAGAAAGTGCTGCTGCGGCTGAAGTGGTTCAGTCATGCAACTGCAGGTTAGAAGGAACAATGATGTTTATATGACTGCAATTCCAAAATTGGACACTCTTAACGCTACTACAACTTCAAACACGAGGAAAATCTGACAGTCCATTGCCCTGTCCTAAGGGCACTGGCAGCCAGGCCACAGGAAACCACTCCTACAGCAGTCGAAAAACTGCACCTACTCCTAGAAATGAAGTAGCTAAATCTCAGAAAAAAACGCTACACAATAGGATCCGCAGTGCGGGCAAATGCGTTACTTGCAAACTCTTCCAACCGTCCCTCTCCCCCAGACACACCTTTCCGCTGGCCATCTTGTATGAAGTCTCAAACATACTGAAGAATATTGGTAGCGTTAAAAGGCCTCGTTGCTGGCACTTAGCAAATTTTGTTTGCGCCAATAGCTGATACAAATCCAGGCAGCGCCGTCTAGTGAACAAAAAGGAACACGGACGCACCGCTTCATGCTAACATCCTTCCCTGCCTCAGTAACTGAAAGAGTAGTACTTTGCCCTGCATGGGAAGGTCAGACGCAACAAATGCCACCAGTTGAATAGTCGCGGTCACTATCCAGAAGTGGACCCTGGAAATCCAGACGGCGCTACTTCTACTTGAAATATTGTGTAACATTCCGACGTCATGTCCTCCATGGGGAAGCAGGACTTCATCGAATGCCACCATACAGGAGCACTGACAGAGCTTCTGGTTGCCTCCAAGCTAACTATGAATTATGAACACTACCTTGCGCTGCCCCCTCAATCCGTAGGATTCTGGCAAGGTGTGTCTCTTTGGTAGTGAAAGCTGCTCTTTGTGGAGCCGCTTAGGGGATGCAAGGCAGCTGACCGCTGCTTCCAAGGTGCTCTGCTGTCTTCGCGTGTTTCTTTGGCGAAAGAAGCTCGCCGCTTGCTGAAAGCACAAAGCATAATGGACCTCTTAAGGTCTATCCATAGGAATCCTATGCCGCGTACAGAGCAAAGGCATCCCAGGCTAGTGAATCTTCGTAGTCAACGTATGCTGGGCCGGACGCCAAAATTTCTTGGTCACATGAAATCTGGCAGAAACGCTAATAAGACGCCCAACAGAAAAAGGTCATGCCCCGACAAGGTCAGGTGCCGTCAACATGAGCTGGTTGACCAACAAGGCTTTGCTGTCCTGAGAGAATCGGCGACGTTCTCAGGAGCTGTCCACCAACTCCACTTAGCTCATCGAATAAAAGCGGCGCCGTTGGTGGTCTCGGAGCACCTTGATATGGGCCAGACTGGGAGGGCTCTGGAATAGGTTCGCCGACCGGAACACCGTAGAACGGCCCACTAAGACCTGTTTCACGCATCGGTCCTGCTATGAACCAGGGTCTCTCATCCGAGGGAAATGTGAAAGGAATATGCACTTTCTCCTCCGAAGTTAAGGGGTTTCCTACCTGAGAAATGGGGGGAGCTCGCACTGGGATACCAGGAGGCGGTGGAGGCTGTAATGCCTGCCCTGTGAAACTATGTGTAGTCGCGGTCGGTGCGAAAATGCCCGACGCCAGCTCTCCAAAACCCAACGGTAGAGATGTTGAGCCTACGCTGCTGCCTTCCACCTTTTCAGCAGCTGGGCTGTCTTCAGAACCAAGAGGACCACACAATCCCACAGAGTACCAATGTCGCTCGTTTGCGAGAGCTCTTTGGGCAGCAGGAGAAGTTTCAGTCTCAGAAAGAGCTCGACTGCACTTCAATACCAAAAACGCCCCCACCAAGCTTGCAAGAACTACTCCAAAACCTTTAAAAAGACGAATCTCTACGAAGCCCTGTGCTCTACGGCTGCGGAGGCTTCCCGGGCACGGATTCTCTACTCCGCCTAGCGTGGAAAAAGGCGCCGCTTCAGTGCTGGCACGCACTGTGGGGGAGGCGACGCGGAGAATCGTTTCACCTGCAGGCATCTTGCGGAGCTCACTCTGCTTCAACCCACATCTATGCTGCTCAACACAGTAAGCTGTAACAGTGTTCCAACTGAAAAAACCCGCGGCCAGAGGAATTGCTGTTGCAAGTCTTGGTGGGGACAAAAGACACTTTATCGGTGGCGCCAAATACCTCCTAACTATTGCAACTTGTCTCGTCCAACTCCATATGGGAATGCCCTTCAACAGCACCGCGCCGCAATGAACCCCTGAGCAATCGATCCTCAGCAATCCCTGTTGATAATATTTCACTTACGATAACTTTGTCAATCTGGCAATTCACGACTATGACTGCGCATCAGAAAGCCCCATGGCTTCTGGAATTAACGCCCAATGCAACTGCTCTGAGCAATGCTCAGCAGGCCTTGCGATACTGATTGCGAGAGATACGGGCAATGGAAAACCGCTAGCACTGATAGCTGTAGCCTTCAAAGACATAACAGGTTTAAAATTAAAATTTTACATCTCCATAGACCAACAAGAAAATGTTTTCGCCTGCTTACTTGCCCATCTCAGTGGGCTTGGGAGGGACAGCCAGCCTACGGGCTCGTCTCTCCATATGTTGACGGTTTACTTTATCGCTGCCTGATGTACTCAATAGTGAAACATGTTTTAAATAGCATGAACGATTTTAAAGCAGTATCGTTATAATGTCATCTTGACAAGGATCCCGTGTGCCCGGCTGAGGACGATCTGGCCGCACCCCCACAGCCAGTGGGATTCCATAGGGGACTGCAGATGCTGGACACCATCCACCTGTACTCTCCCATAGACTCCTGATAGCCCTGAATATTTGACGTTTTTAGTAAGTTTTGCTTCCTTATCAATATGGAGTTCAGCAGTGCCTTGCTTTTGTGCGTTGGACCAGGCAGGCACTACTCCGGATTGCAAGACAAAAAGCAATGTGTTGCTAGGCACTACAATGGGTGAACTAGATGCTTTGATAAATAACTAAAACAGACTAAATGATTCTTGTTTGTGCCATGATAAATAAAGATGAAGCCATTATATGGGTCCCTAAATCCTGTAAGCTGCATGAAGACCCACTACCGACTGAAGTGGCAAGCGGTGCTGTAATTGCAAGGAGGTTGAACGATAAAGGGGGAATCGATTTATGCTTTGGTTCTTTTTGGACGTATCTAATTTTAAAGCAAAATGTCGTGCCATTTAATCATGAATTGAGGTACTTACGCGTATTATATGTAGCGGAAAAGCTCTGCGTGCCTGTCTACTCGTGGTCCTTTCAACCAGCCTCAGCTGCTCGACGTGCGTAGGCGCAGTAAGTCTTCCAGATGTATTATGGAACGTTGGACTGATTATGATTTATGGAGCCTAAATATTTCATTGAGTGGTGATTGAATATTCAAGCTCATCTGTGATAAAGTGCGCTTGTGAGAACGGCTTACGGGCTGCTTACCCGCCGGCAGGTACTCGAGGATTTTCATAAATAGCGGACCGGGTTTCTTTATATAAGCTTGCAAAGCTCATATCTTAAGTTTCGGGCCATCAGTTTGCCTCTTTCCTGGCACCAAATTTTCTTGGCTAAATTTCAGAAACGTGAATCTCGTAGCCCTGGGTTCCCTGGTTCCACTACTTTCCGTTCTTTCTGCGGAAGCACTGGTAACACGCTTCATCCTCTCACTAGATTCCGTTGTTTCTCCATGTTAATTCCTAACTTCTGCTTTTATGTATTCAAGAGCTTCACGCTTGGACTTTAGTCCTTTGTACCTTCGCTTCGAAGCTGCAGTTTTGCTCATCGCGTGCCTGCCCTTGTTGCTTCTGTATCCCGCGATTGTATCTTCACACATAACCACCACCATTGAGAACTGAGATAAAAGTTTTACAGAGTGTCTTGTTCAGCTTTATTCTGCTTCTCTTTCCTGTGAACTCAACTAGAAAATGCAAAAAGTTTTATCGCCTTGCGCAACTACTTTAGTACAAGAAGTTTCTTTGATACTGCAACTCTAGAAAACGTGCCTCCTTCGTTTGAAATTCTTATTCAGCCCCATCGGAAAAATTGTGGGCACTGGCTAGACCTTAATAGTGAAGTTGGACAAAAGGGCTTCGCATGAACACAGTGGGCAAATTCTCATTAGGAGTGAGAATCAACTGGAACAAAGCTCAAGCGCCCTTCAACCGCAAGTTCCAGTTCTTTGAAACAGCCGCCTCTGCGTCTCTGAAATAGCTGAGGTGCGCCTATAAGCAGCCAGCCATAAAGGCGTGGAGGATATGTCCAATATGTGATGTCCCATCACATATCACCCAACCGCTACAAATGATTCACAGTTAATTTCCAAGGCACGATTCATCATACTCCATGGACTCAAGAAGCCTCAATACTCAGGGATACGCCAACAAGAAACCTGCACTTTGGGTGAGGCAACCTGTAGGCAACGCCTAAGCTGCGTCTGGTCACCTGGCTACCAGGGCTCTACTGTTTATGTCGTCTGCTTTGAAATATACTTCAGCGGTACTTCAATTTATATTGTACTATTACTTTTTATTTCAACCTCATAGCTTTACATTCATGGCACCACATGGTAATCTTTGTATGATCGGCCGATAATTCCGCAGTCCATGGAGTATCGCACTAGCGCAGATTAAGACCTTACTCTTCCTATTCATGCCCTTTACAACTGCAGAATTTGCCCCTTTAGGCAGCTTCTGGAGATGGTTGCAGATCTGTGCATGGTGCGATAGCAGAACGCTACACCAAACCCGCGACAGAGGCCTCTTGGAAGCCTTCACGCAGTTTCGGGAGGGTTCAGCCTTATTTCTGAGAGTTTTGACAAATAAAATAGTGCAAATCAAGTGCCTTCAAATTCACGATTCGGTAAACTCACGCCTGTGCACTGCGTGAGACCCTGCATGTGTGGCAGAATACTAGAGCACCACTTGGGGCTGCTACTCTGGCCATTCCACCGCAACCACAAGACACAGAAAAAATCCCTAACAAGACAAGAAAAACAGCACCAATGCGAAGGCTCTATAACTGATATTACTTTATGTTCACTTCCTACCGGATTGAAACATGGGACAGTCCACAGTTGCATGCAGAACTGAGCAGGCTGGTGCATGCATCGTGACTAACAGCTAGATGCCACTTACATACACCCTTCAAACGTTGCATTACATTCCCAAACTTCGACCTCTGAACTTATTTAGAAGTGTTTAGCGGATCTAGCACAGTACGATGTATCGTTCTCCAGTAACAACAGCAAGGCCTCTCTTGGATGCCTACACGCCGCTTATCCACATAGTTCCTTTGCGGCTAGTCAAAACATATCTTGACACGCTATGCTACATGCGGACACATACCTGATGATTAATTGCACGTGTGACGTACGATGAGTGTTCCTCCAGCAACTTAAACATCTGTGACATCACTGTGGCATCACTTATTTCAGGGTTTAACACGGAGATGTCTCTAGGACCTCCCTTTCTTGGGCAAACTTGTAGACAAAATCACATTTAGTTGTATTCTACTCCCCAGTGGCCAGCTCCCTTGCAAATTTTGAGGGAAGTGTCCAATGCATCCAGGCACGGCATCGCCGAACGCCTCCCAGTCGAGGCCGCTCGGTGGCAATACAACTGACCCGTCAACTAGTCAACACCAGCAGTTGCTGTTAGATGAGCCACATGGAGAGCTGCACGCGCTTCACCGGCATGATGGCATGGCTTCGATTTCTGCCTCTGCCTCCACTGCGCTACAGCAGCAGTGGGGGAACCGTGAAAAGGACGATCTATTTGTTGATCACGAGTTCCCTAATGTTCAGTCTGATCGACCAGTCGAGCTAAATGTGTGTTTTTGCAGCAACTAGGGGCTGCAGTGGCACGCCTGACAAATGTACTAAAGATGAAGAAGGAGTGTTTACCGCGTTTGAACCTGAGGTCCATGCGTGCATTGTACTCCCCTTGTGTTTAGGAGGGTGACCGTGGGAGCTTAATGGTCGTGAACGGGCTACTGTGGCTGCGGCCTAACGAAATTGTCCAACGCATTCAGCAGCAGCAGTTAAAGGCCCACCGAGCTTCGCGCCCTCAGCAGCAACAGCAGCCACAAGACCAGCAGATACAGCAGCAGACAGAAAAGACTGCGATTTTGTTTAGCAGCACCAGGATTGCTTCAACTGTAGCCTACGGCCTCCTTGCATCCCACGCGTTCGCGGCTGTCGCAAGTGGCCTCGCCGCCTCGAACCCGCCAGCAATAAGAGATGCTCTGTTGCATCCCGAACACTGGAGGTAAGTACCGTACTCGGCTTCATCGCACCAAGTCAGGGCTAGCACAGTCGCGAAGCTGCACTTGGGGGAGGCAGTGGCTCCATGAAGTGCCAAAGTGCCGACGAGTTGAAAAATAATTGAGCGGTGGACAAGGCCTAAGAGCGCTTAAGTATACATCCGCTCTATCTATACTTTATTGCTGCCTTAGGAGGGGTGTTTTCCGTGTTGCTTTCTTCCGGTCGGGGGAGAGAGAAGTGGTGTCTATTGACACTCGGCTACCGTGCCGCGTTGCACAGCAGCCAAAGGAACACAGCAGAAGGTCCCGCTGCTCTAGTAGAGTTGGCAGCTCCGAAACAAGGAGGTCTCGGAGTGGCACCAGGAAAGAAACGGTTTCCACAACATCGGCTCGGGATCCAGACGGGAACGTTGCTGGTGGCTCTGCTGCAGGAGTGGAGGGTACAGATGATACGGCTGCTCCACTTTCCTTCAGCTCGCATACAAGTATTGCCAAACAGAAAAACAAGCGAAGCGAAAGGAACATTCTGGAGGCTACAGAGGCTCAAACAGTCTCATGCAACCCTCCCATAGAATTTGCGTAGGCCTTTGCTTTCAGCGCTTTAGGCAAAGTTAGAGCTGCCCCGGCTGTGCAGTGCCTGTATTAGTCTATTTGAAAGGAAGGATACAAAACAACAAGCCACTTTCCAACGACACTGCATGTTTACATCATCACCGCTTCCGAATGTGCTGACGGGGGGCTTCTCAATATGCTGATAGAGCTCCTTCGAAGCCATTGTGCTGTGCCAGCACCTTACCAGCCAGCAAGTTGTGCCAACCTTCCTCATTGCGGAGGAAGCAAAGCAGATGACATTTTTGGCATTATTGGGACTGAGATTCTTGGCACGAGTGTAGATACTATTGTAGCATTTCAGTGTGCGAGGAGACGAACTCACTAGGTGCTGGTCAACAGTTGAACCCCGGTGAAGCACGCTGGGGTCGACGCGTTGATACAATTTGCTTAGTCAAAGTCGCTCTTGGTCGCCATTACCTCTGCGAAGGCCTCGTTGGTGCTGAACTTTAGCCTGAAATTAACGTCGTGGCCCATCATGAAGCTGCCGCTGACCCAATGAGCCTTCTGGATTAGCGTTTTATGTGCAGCTTCACTCACTGTCACGCGTTTGAGGAAGTGTGGCTGCCTCTTTTGGAAAAAGCTTACGCCAAATTTCTCGGGTCTTATGAGGCTGTGGCACAGAGGTAGGGTCAGCATTCCAAACTTCGTTCGAGCCATATTAAAGTCCCGAAACTCTCTAAATGCTAATTTTCGTTCTCCGCTGCGCTGTGGGGTCTCAGGGCATTCCGAGACATTGCTGTGGACCTGACAGGAGGCGCCGGTCGGTTAATGTGCTGCCCCTGATCTTTAGCCGCAGGCAAAAAATATAAAATTGAGTTCCAGTTCCGCTTTCGCAACTGCAGTTGCGGCCACAAATTTAGAATAAACTTTTACGTTGTGTGAAACAACTCTCTTGAAAGAAATAAGTCGAAAAGCAGATAGGAAAAAGCAAGTTTCGTCTTCACTTACTTGCGAAAAGAACAATTTAACTTCACAAGCAGAGGATCCTATACAACTTGTAAACACTTTAATTTTCTAGTGCTAACAGTATCCGTTACTAAATTTGGCTCATTATGACCAGGGCAGTTTCGTATAGAAACAGCAACTTATCCTTCGTATCTACATATATACGTATGCATGTATATCATGCATGCACGTATACAATATCTATACTGGGCGCTATGGAAGCCAACTAATTGCAAGAAGCTCAGTCCCTAGAGTGTCAGACATCTCTTTTGCTGCCCTCTTACTGTTCAGTTGAAGAGATAGAGGTCAAGTGCTTTGACGCTTCCGTCATCTGGGCCAAGATTCGAAAGTGAGGCAGCCATTCCACGGCCCCTTTTACGCTCCAAGCTCTTCATGGCTGTGGCTGTTGAAAAATACCCGAACCGGAGGCATTGGCTCCCAGTTTCCATACAGAGAATATATACATTTGCGTATGCAGGCGTAGCTATGTGCAAATGAATCAAAGCGTGCAATTGCAGTGGCCGGTTCTGTTCTTGCTGGACGTAGGGCTTTTTCTCTCGGCAACTGCTTCCTGACGTGCGTGGCTCGCGGAGCAGACGTAGAAAAGGACAACATCTTGCCAGATCGGCACTACACCATCATTGATGTTGTTAGAGTACGCATATTTAATTTCCTAACGGCTCCCAAAACGCTATTGGCTACGTATCATTTTCCTCTTTGGCCTTTTAATCCAGTCCAGTGACAGCAGAAGCGCATCTAAGGTGGTGCAGCAAGATTCAAGTGACGAGAGCTTCATATGAACAATAAAACTTAAGCAATAAGCCGCATTCGCGGAGCCCCACTTGGCATGCGGCCTGGCTTGTTAGGTGGATAATCTGCGGCTGCTACGCCTCCACAATCCTTGGAAAGTTCCAACATGGAGAGGGGAATTTTCAGACTATCATCGTTCTTGGACCCAATATCCAGGTCCGAATGATGATTAAGTGTATGTGGTATCCCATATAAAGGCAGATCCTGCTGCATTGTATTGTTGCATGTGCTGGGCTGCCGGGGACAGCAATGACTCACAGGAGCATTCACTACAGCAGCGCAGTTTCTGCTTCTTCTGCAGAATGAGGCACTGAACATACTGCTCTACACGTCCGTTGCGGTGGCGAAATCCGCTGCAGGGTGAGGCCGTTGTCTTTTGGACTGTTTTTAATTTTTGCAGACTTAAAGGAAAGACTAAATTACAAGTTTGGAGACACTCCAGCTTCCTTTTGGATGAAATTCGAGTCATTCCTAGAAGTTTTTACGGATGTTTTCTTCTGCCACAATTTGGCCCCTGAACACAGGTATCCACAGCAGCAGCTACTGGGCCCGCACGAAGAAGCTTCGCCTGTGGATGCTGCTGCCTCTGAGAGCCAAACAGCAGCAGCGTCACATGCAGCAGGAGATCCAAGTGCAGAGGCTGCGAAGGCAGATATGTGAGCTGAGAAGAACCTGGACAAGGCGAAAGTGGCTGTTGCTATCTGTTCTGAGGACAAGAGTGCGTGAGCTCTTGAGTTTATGCTGTCTACTTTTGGCTCTATAGTGCATGAGCTCTAAACTCTATTTTTCACGTTTCGGGTTTGCGGTGCTTGCTGCAGCTGCAACGAATCGTCTACGCAAACCAAAGGTACGAGCGAGGTGTGGCGCTACCGCGGGGGCTCCGAAATATATGTGACAACACACGAAGACAGCTGGAGAGACTTGTCACTTTGTGGGTTGCCTCGTGAATGGAGTCGATGCAGTGGGGCTGCCACCGCAGCCTTCAGGCCAGCAATGACACCGCAGCAGAGCCCGCGGCAATGCAACACTGACAAGAACAGCAGCAGTAACAGCAACGGCAGAGAATTCCGCGACACCATAAGGAGGCCCTCAACGGGGGGTTCGTGCCAGACGTGGGGCATTCAGTTGCTAGGAGCTGCTTGTGCAACACCTGCGGCGGGAGGAAGCAGCGGCATTGGCCCCTTCGGTTCTTCACGAGCTGCTGCCGCTACTATTTCCGGTACCCTCGTGGCTGCGGCTGCTGCTTCTGGGAGCATCGCCCAAGTTACATCACGGCCTCCAGCGGCCGCAGAGTCGTTTAGCGCAGCAGCAGGCACAGCAGCAGCAAGAACAACTGTAGGAACTCCACGTGGCAGCATGGCCACGCTGCGAGGCCTTATGTACACTGCAGTGAGCCGGCCCTCGGCCTTCGTCCGCTACGAGCCCGGAGGTGACGGGTTTGACACAGCGTGGGTAAACGCTCCAATGTTTTTGATTTCCGTTGCCCCCCCGGACGCTGCTGCTGCAGCGGGTGCTGCTGCTGGCGGTAATTACGATGATGACAAGCGGCAGCAGCAGCAGCAAGAGACCGGTTCAAGACAAGAGCCGCCACGGCCTCAGCAGCCGCAGGAGCAGCAGCCTCAGCTAGACATGCTCATTTCCATAACGCAGAACAGCAACCTCGATGTGGCCCCTATCAGCATGGCGGTCTTCAAAGCTCGGGTGACTTATGCAGCAGTTAACTGTGGCCGCTCGCTTCGAGTTCAGCACACACTCCATGCATGCAGCACCAAGCCCAGACTTAGCTTTGGAGGGTCTCAAAACTTGGGGCCTGAAATTTGGGGTTTCTGCAGGACCACCGCCGCATATGGTCTTATTCGGACTCAAAGTTGTTGGGCATATCTCAAGCAGTACTAGAGGGCGAGCGGCCGGCGTGTGAGCAGCCCTGGAAAGGCGGTGGTTGCTGCTTAGCTAGCTGCTTGCCTGGAGTGCTAGTTGGGGCCCCCGAGGCAAAGGGCCCCTGGAGAAACAGCTGCCTCCGGCTCGGGTTCTTCAACAAGGGGGGGCCCCGGAAGACCCCCATCAAGAACACGCGCCGCCTGCTAGTCGTCTGCTACCAAAATGTGGCATCCGACAGCCCAAACCTCCGACCGAACGACTTCATCTTCCGCACATTTAGCTCAAAACCTGTACGCCAGGAGCCAGCCCTCCACCCCTTGACTACAATAGCTACGTCTCAATTGCGACAACAGGCTTTTCTCGCTGCTTGCATCTCCTACCGCTGATTTCTGGGAAACGGAGGCAGAAAAAGAAAGGCGGCTTAGGTGTATTATTGCCTCAGCTACCGGTGGGCTGTTGCTTCATGTGTGCACGCAGGTGCGCGTCGAGCGGCTCCCTCCGCCGCAGCATTACGAGTTTTCGGGTGTCTGGACACGCGGCACTGCTGGTGGGTTGTGATCATCTAATAGCTGCAAGTCACTCTGCTGAATCTCGAGAGGCAGCAGAGAGTCAGCCCTTGAGAGGCTCGAAGCCTCTTGAGCCTCCTGTCTACGGCTTGGTGGCCGTGAGGCGGCTACTGCTGCCTTAAAATTATTTCTGCTGCATACGCTTGATTTGCTTTGCGAGGCTGCAGGAGGGCGGCTGTTGACCCTCGGCCCTCACCGCCGCCACGTCTTCAATTCCAGGTGGCCGACGAACCCGCAGTATGCGATCTGCGCAAACCCAGCGTGAGGCTTCTCAGAAACAGTCCACACTAGCTAGTCACACAAGCAACAAGCTAGCTAGCAGGCTAGCTAGCTGTTCAACTACCGGCCAGCCAGCCAGCCGGTTACCTGGCTTCAGAGCGCTGTCCAGTTAAGTTCACATGAGCCCTCCGCCATGTGTCGCCTTGTAGATGGCGGATTTTGAGAGATGATTAATCTGCATACACATTAACGAAAGCTGTGGCTTACACTCTAGGGATTTCTAGAGAAGGCCTCGAGAAGCCATTTAATCAACAGCTGTCATTTTCAATCAGGTTTCCTGAAACCACCATTTGCATCCTTGTCTCAAGGCAGAAATCCAGAAGAAAGAACGAAGCTCCAATACGCGTGAGAAGCACTTTCTCTTTAAAATCGAACGCTTTTCCTCCTTGCCACATTGGCAGCTCGGGACTTCTTTTTCTAGAGAGACTGCTCTCCCGCTAGCTGCGAGCAAGTTTGCTAGCCAAATAATTTGCTGCCTAAGCGGACAGCCGAAAACTTTGCTGTTGTGCACTGTCTGCGTCGTTTTGACGAGAAAAGCCTTCATCTTTCGGTTGCTGCAGCAGCTGCTGCTGTTTCTGCTGCTGTTTCTGCTGCTGTTCTCGTTGCTGCTGTTCCTGTTGCTGCTGCAGGTGGGGCTTGTAGCTGCGCTGCTGAGAGACGGCAAGGATGCAAACGATGTGGAGAAGATCCTTTCCTCTTCCGCCCGCCAACCGACCGAGTAACCGGGGTTTTCAAAAAATAAACCCTAAAACATTAATTGCCAATTCCTCTTAGGACCACGCGTATTCTCTCCGCTGCAGTTTCCGTCCAAGGGCTGTGGGATTTTCAGCCAGCTGACACGCGAGACTGCAGCAGATTTAAGCGGGCAAAAGTTTATACTAGTTCCAGTTGTCTCAAGATGTATTTCTGTGGTTCCAGATCCAACTGGCTCGGCACGAAGCCGCCAGAACCGCCGCCAAAACTTCTCCGCAAACTGACAGTGAGCAACTTTCGCAGCGCCCTAAGCTTTCGTTTATACCCGAGAGCTCTTTGCCTCCAACTTTAAGTAGCCGCGAAAGCCACTTCGTTTCTTCGGACTCTGCATGCGCAGGTGGAGCCCGACGAGTGGTTTGTTGAAGTTTTTGGAGAAGACAAGTGCTCTGTGAAGCTGACAGTCTTACGGGGAGCCGTGAGCTGGAGCCTAGGCTAGCAGCGTAGAGTCTGGGGATCCTACATTTTAAAGTCACTTTAGCATTATGCGGCTAATGATTTGAAAAGTGCTTCTCATTTCCCGGGAGTGTCACAGGGGCCACTCATTATTTCCCCATGTCTAGAGACCGCCGACTCTATGGGAGCGTTCGTGCTGCACATTTTCAGCGATTTGCCGCTCGAGGTAAGTGCCCATTGACATTCAGCTCTCATTCCTAATTAAAGCTTCATTAGTTCTAACTTTAAAGTTTTAGACTATAAGCACTAAGCCTTGTGCTTTCAGACTAAATGGCCAGGGATTAGAATTTGCAGGTTTGGCTTTAGTCTGCGAGCTGGTCGCGGTGAAACAGCCAATTGCTTCCCCAAAGCTCTGAATAAAGGCTTCATGGCTTTATTGCAGCAATTGCAGATCCGAGCCTAAAACGCATATCCTGAACTGCAAATGCTGTGTTCTTTCTGACTCGAATTGCAGAAGGCTGAGGCACTGGAAGCAAACAACCACTTGACACTCGTGGGCCGCTGGGACCCCGAGACAGCGGGAGGCAGCCACAATTTTCCTGCGAAGCTGGAAAGTCCTCACAGAGAGCCAAGTAAGGGTTTCACCTCTAAATTCAGCAGTGGAGGTGCCGAGGCTGCGCCGTCGGGTGTCCCTAGGAGTAAATTAGTGGATATGGGACCTTCTACATGCGTACGCACTTTGCATAGATGTTAAATATGAAACACACTGTCAAATATTGCATATGTGAAATATTTTGAGTCACGTGTGTCCCCTCGACTCCACGACCGCATCTGTTCAGGGTTGATTGTTTAGCCGCTGTAAGATTTGCGTGCTTCTGCAGCTCCTCGAAGCGAAAGCGGGGCCGCGCAATCATACCAGCTTGTCACTAAGAGAAGTCTGAAAGGGTGGGCAGCAAATCCTTTGTATCTCGTTGAAGTTAAAAAGACAGTCCAAGTGGAACTGACCTTGGCCAGGCACGAAGACTGTTGGACAAAACAGAAAGAGCAGGTTAGCGCCTCAAAAGCCAAACTCTAAGCTCTGCTTTGTACTTTCCAAAGTATAAACCCTAAACTTCAGCCACGTAGGTTATCGAGCAGGCTCTGCGGCCTGGACACAGGGAAACTTTGTTGGAGCTCTGAATGCTCCGAGTCTAGGACTGCAGTTTAGGGTTTTGGCATTTCTTTGCAGGACGTGGCGGGCTGCATGATGTGCCTTTACATTTTCCGGGGGCGAAACGTTTGTGCGGAAGACTTGGTGCAACAGTCAGACTTCGTGGTCAGTGGCCTTTGAATATAATCCTAAACTCCAAGCTCAAGACTCTATAGCTTGCTTTCGTGCACACAGGGGCTGCAATAAGTATGGCCTACAACACATAAACTAGGTTAGGGGTGCGTCCGCTGTTCTGCTGCTATTGCAGCTCGACAACAAAGTCTCTTTGTCATTTACCTTTGCAACTTCGCCGGAGGAAACTGCGGAGTATCTCGTGATGCCTGCAACTTGGAAGGTACTGTAATCTGTGGCTCTGAGCTCTGAATGATCTGAATGAGTACTTACAAGTTTACGAGATGATGCATAATCGAAAACACTTTTCTGATGAGCCTTAACGAATCCTTGTAAGTGTGAACATAGTGATGTCAAATACCAAAAGCTAGCTCCATGACTATTTTTTTCTATTCATACATTTCTTGCGTTGACTATGAGAGCTCGGCATTCAAAAAACGCGGCCCAGCGGAAGCACAAAATTTCATTCCTGAGACTGAGGTGCTTAGTGTGTCTGCAGCCTGGAAAGACGGGTGACTTCTTCTTGCGGCTTTTCGGCCCCCTCGACAGCATATCCATCTCCCCGTTTAGGGTTTAGGGTTTGGGGCTTAGTCCTCCGAGCCTGGACTCTAAGCCTTTGCGAATAAAGACGAAGTTCAGGGCTCTCCGGGAACCCAAGTGGGACGCGTGAAGTTTAAAAAACTTGGAAAGTTGTACGGCCAGAGGCGCGGCGATTACGATTAGCAAGGAGAACCAACAGCCTCTTTTTTGGCAGCAGCACCTGGCGAGGCGAAATAAATATGTAAAATTCGATTCTACAGGCCCATAGGGATGAAGGTTCTTTTTACACGGCCCAATCGGCCAGGCCCTAGGCTCTAGACGGGGCAATGGGCAAATGGGTATCAAACAAAAAATTCATTTAGCTACCTGTGCATGCACTTGCATGCCGAACAAGCGCAGTACAGGGCCTCGAAGGGCTCTTGACTTGCTTGATTTAAAAAGAAGAAGAAACAAATTGAAAAAAGACCAGTGAGGGCGCTAAGCCACATAGACACATCGGGAGGCTGCACTTCTGCACTACATGAAAAGCGTTTCTGCGCCTTTCACCGGCCACAAGGAGGTGCATGCACTTGCATCTGCAGCTCTTGTGCACAGAAGTGTCTAAAAGCTGCATTTTTGGGAATTCGAAACCCGTGAAAAGAACTAGTGGCCCCACTAGCGAGTCCACACACAAAAGTTGTGCCCACAAGTCGCTATGCGCCAGCCCTCGCCACCAGGCTGCCAGTTCTCCCAGCCAATCTTCATCGCCACCCGCGCGTTGTGTGGGTGGCACCAGCGGTCGCGGGGGGAAATGTAGGCCGCGTACAAGCCGCGCTCAGTCCTGACACCGAAAAAGCTGCACTTAGACTCATATTTTTAGAAACAGAACTCACCAAAAAGAGGCCTTTCGACTCTTTGAGCCGACAGTAGTGGACAAATTCAGAATTTGGATGCAGAAAATAGTCAAGGGCGTCCTTTTGGGGTCTCAGGGTAGATGCACACTCTCGGATCTAGACCGTTGGGCTGAGGGTTTAGGGTTTAGCGTTTAGGGTTTAGGATTTAGTGTTTACCTGGCCATGTAAATGCCGCTAGTGCTGTGGATGCCCATCGAAGTTCTGACGTCGCAGAGCTCTTGCAGTTTTTGTCTGCTCGACAGCCAGAGTGGTGGAGTTGTATTGGATGATCCAAGGATTAATGGCTTGCTGCCTAGGGTCTAGCGTGTAGGGTTTAGGGTTTAGCGTCAGGGTTTAGGACACCCACCTGCTGTAGTCGCCGTAGTCCGAGTAGTGGTTCCAGTAGATACAAGGCACTCCGGGATGCGTAAGAATGACGGCATAGCCTTGCAGCTGCGCTCAAACGCACCACTCTAGGGTTTAGGGTTTCGGCTCTAGGGCCCGTGGCTACATTTTGGGTTTAGGGTTTAGGGCCTAGGATTTAGAGTTAAATTGCAGAATCGGGGAGTGCGGAGCAAAACTCACAACTCCATTTAAGTCCCCGTTGCAGAAAGTGCGGCAGTAGTCAAGGTGGTCAGTGTCGTGGTTTTCGATGAAAGTTACAGCCAGCTTGGGCTCCTGCAGCGTAGCAGCAGCAGCGCAGCAGCAGCAGCAGCAGAGCAGCAGCTTAGCCCTCCTTTGAGCGCCCTTGTCTTTTCGTCTTACGGCCTTCTGCTGCGCCCTTGGCTCTTCCTGTCAGTCTCTCTCTTTGTTGCTGCTGCAGCTGCAGCTTCGGTAATTATCTCTTGTTGTATTTTTTTCATTATCACTATCTGTCCGTGTCAGTGGATTTTTTTCTTAGTCTTCCCCCTTGTGCTGCTGCTGGCTCCCCAGTCTATGTCCTAGTCACTTTGCTGCTGCCCGCCTCGCTGCTGTTTTGTGCAGCTTTGCCCCTAAAGCTGTTTTTGCGCATTTTGTGCAAAGCTGCCTCTGCATGCGTTTTTCTGCTGCAAGGCCAATTAGCTGCTGGAAATCAGAAACCAAGAATTGGTTTTTCGATGGCTTAAAGCCTCAGCTCTTGGTTTGCTTTAGCTGCCACTGTGCCCCTGTCTACTTCTCCCCGTGGCTGCCTTTTTACTTTGCTTCTCTTCCAACTTATATCTCTGTTGCTGCTGCTGCTGCTGCAGCTGCTGCAGTTGCGTGTCTCTGTCTCAGTCTCAATTTGTACTAGTGCTTCTATAATCGCTGCTATGTGAGTTTCTTGTGCAGCTGTTTCATCTGTTCTTGCTTCTCTAGAAGTCTAAACTATACGCTGCCGTGGCCGTA